TCTCGGCAGTGTGGATTTCGTAATGAAATTCGTTAATTACATAATGGTTTTCGTTAATTACTGAGTGGTTTTCAGTAACTACAGAGTGGGTTTGGTTAATTGATCAGTTTATAGTGAATTTTTCGTAATGAAATTCGTTAATTACATAGTGTTTTCGTTAATTACATAGTGGTTTTCATTAATTATAGAGTATTTTTTGTTAATTGATAAGTTTATAGTGGATTTTGTAGTGATTTTCATTAATTACATAGTGGGTTTTATAAATTACAAAGTGTTTTTATTAATTATAGAGTGGTTTTTGTTAATTACATAATGATTTTCGATAAGTTTATAGTGAATTTTGTTAACGGAATAATATAATCACATGGTGGTTTTTGGTAAGTTTATATTTGGATTTTAATTTGTTAAATTTTTTTTTTTAAATTTAACGTTAAAAAACAAAAGTATAAAAAATAAAAAAAAATCGAAATCAAAAAAATAAAATAAACTTTTTAAAAAACAAAATCACATTGTTCTTAAGAAAAAAATCGAAAAATAAAAAAGAAGTAAAAACTAGATTTTTTGAGTTGATTTGGAAGCGTTATTTGGGGCATAAATTTTGGAGCGTAATTTTGGGCCATAATTTTTGGAGGAAATTTGGGTGTAGATTCGAAACAGAATTTGAATTTATCAACATGATTTTGTTTTTTTAATTTCTTCGAATAGTTTGGGACAAATAGGATATTTTGTATTGATTGAATTTATGGTAAATATCAATTATTAAAAATAAATTTATTAAGAAGTCAAAACGCGGGTGTTTATCAAATGGCCCTAGAAAAAAAAGTTCATGGTGAGTGTTTATCAAATGGCCCTAGAAAAAAAGTTCAAGCCGAAATCATTTTTATGGATAACACTTGGAATGCAAAAAGACAACACTGCTCTCATATTCAATATTTACCTAACTGTATTTAACATTTTCACCATACGTATTTATCTTTTTCTGGACCCGCATTTTTTAGATTTTTATTTAGGGTAAATTGGCTAGACACCCCTTATTCTAGACTTATATAGGTGTAGATCCAATTTGTTAGATGAATATAGGTGTAGGTCCATTGACTCAAAAAATTAATGTAAATTAAATAATGGGGGCAACTATTTTAAATCCCAACTTTTGCTTACTTGAATACTACCAAGTTTAAAACCAAAATTGAGTACATATTTATCAGTTTTTTCTTACTTTAATACCAAAATAAAAAGAAAAGTACCAAAACACGCTTTCATCAAAATATCAATTATATCAAATTGTTTTAGAAATTACCTATTCAAAATCCAAATAAAAAAAAAAAGAAAAAAAAAACCTTTTGTTGTAAAAAAAAAACCTCCACCATTGTCTTCTCCTCTCCAACCCTCACCGCCGCCGCCGCCGAACGCCACCGTACGCCGCCGCCGCTTCTTCGTCCGTTGTTATCAACCCGCTGAACGCCACCGTACGCCGCCGCCGCGTTTGTACAAGTAATAGTTTTTTTCGATTTTTTTTTTCTTTAATATTTTCGAATTGTTTGATATGAGTAACTAGGATTTGATTGTTTTAGGTAGAAATGATCGTTAATTAGTAATGGGTGCATGTAATTTCAGTCGATTTGAGCATTGATTTGAGATTCGTGGGTCGGTTCTTCGTTCACATTTTTCGACCTGTATATGTCGATTT